TGAGAGAGAACAAGTATGAGAAGCAGTGGTACCCGAAGCATGATGATGTGTAATTATCCTGAAATAGCAAATTACTGTGACAAACTGATAAGTTAAATTGTGATTATGGTTGGCAAATGCTTGACCAAAGGTTCAGTACAAGCGTCACGTTAACGCCATCTTGCCTCACTTCTGGCTTCGCGTGGGTGGGTTCGAAGGCAGGGAGGGCACATCATTGGTTGAGGGTTTTGGTCGAGTTCGTACAAACACCCTCTCCCTCACAAAAGGTGACTCGACACAACCCCCCCCCCTCCCTGGTATGTTTTATAATGATGCTGTTTTACGCAACAGTTCGCGTTTCGAAAGTTATCACAAGAATGCTGAGTTATGGGCAAAAGTCTTAGAGATAAACGATAGCGCACTCGCCCGGAAAGCGTGAGGTGCGGGTTCGACTCCCGCCTGGGGCACGACTTTTGCCCACAACTCAGCATTCTTGTGATAACTGATCGTTGAATTTGAGCACTCAAGGTCATTGAAAACTCCTCCAGTTGTTGAAAAGACATAAGCATTTGACTCGGTAAAGCATGCGGGTTCTCAGGATTGGGGTAAGCTCCACATATGAACGTTTTGATAGGAGTTTGATGATCTTTTCCAATTCAAATCGAACTTCTTAGCCGGGGATTTTGATTCTGCAGGGAATGATGCACGATTCATAGAACTTCAATGAAGACGAAGAGTCCCTTGCCGAGTTCCTGAAAACTGCAAAGAGAACAGTAAAAGCCTGTTGAACAATAGCGTCATTATGATGCCAATATCACCACTAGAAGGCACTGCACTGCATGCGGCACTTGTTTTGCTTCCATTCAGAACAGCAGTACCTTTTTGAATGCGTCCTATACAAGGACGTACTGCAGCCGGCCGATATATAAATCAATATTCCCATCCTCACAGACAAACCTGGTACCGATTAGCCCTTTCCGGTGGGCAGAAGGCTTGGACTGGCTTAAAGGCACGGTCCGCTATAAAATAAGGCTAGGACCTCCTAAATGTACAGGGCGATCCGTACGCGACTACAGAGGCTTCCCCACACTGAAAACTTGGAAATCGGCAAGCAAAACGCAGGAAGCTCAGGTTTTAGGCCCAGGAAGGCCCATGCAGGGCCTACATTGCCCGTGTCGTCGTAATAATGCCGTTGTGCTCTCTCGCCCGTCAATTTCTGGTCTCTCTCCGCGCTTTGCAGTGTATCGTCACCTTCTGCATATCACTGTTGATCTTGACCATCCTTACTCTCGTCCGGTGACCATGATCAAGTGCAAGAAGGAGGGCCATATTGAGGGCGGATTTCCAAACCTTCTATCCTACTAGTAAGCCAACCAGCACAATGCACTTGTGTTTCTGAACTCTCTACCCTACTCGCTGAGCAGGAAATGCCTTCAAATGGGAGCTGATCCAGGTTTTTACTCCCGGATCACACACATAGTATAAGGGTTCCTTGCAACTGCACCAAATGTGCTACTCCATGCGCTGTCGCTACATATGAATTGGGTGATTCTTCAGTTGAAGATTTAAACTTTATAAGCGGACACCCACATAGGCAGATCTTTGCACTCTGGAAATGACATTCCGGCCAACTTATTGAAAAAATTATCTTTCTTGCAAGTTACTGATCTTAGCGCTTTGATGCCCTCCCATGCGCACTAGAAATAATTTTCTGCTGTATGACGTCATTTATCTGCAGCAGACTTAGAAAGGCTTTTGCCAACTTATGCATTAATCAAAATCGACTGTTGACAACACATGTTGAAAATGATGCGGAAAAGAGAACTATTCACAGACTCAGTGAGCCGTATAAAATGGATGTTGTGTTGCTTGGCGACTCCGCCTGTGCTCACCACTGTAGTCATATCCGAAAGTTGGCTAAAGTTGCTTGGAAACCTTCCTCATTGTCAAAGGGAAATGGCACGATAACTCTCTAGAATGAGTAGGACTAATACCCCTGGCATGACCGAGTGTATTCCACACCTCTGAACAGGCGGCTGAGCGCCTTTGTCAAGGGAGTATACTTGCAAGGCTCTATCAAGCTGCAACATACCGACCCGGACGCCCATCGCACCCGCCTGCCCGCAAATGGACGACCTTCCTTGATGCTCGTATCGCTTTTTCGTCCCGGAACAACAACGCTGAAGCGAAGAGATTGAAATAATGAAGAGAGCCAGCAGATTCGCCATGGATATACGAGCACAATACGAGCGACGCACCTACGTGTAGCTGTTATTTGCCGTAGTACTACGGAAACTCGTCGACTGCCTTTATTGAGTCAATCACAAAGAGAGACAATATAAATCATCGCACTTTTGAGGTTTTTGACAGCTTTACTTCGTTTCTTTTGCGGTAGCCCATTACTAATCGTACGGATCGCACCTCATTAATTATGTCTCTCACTTAGGTAGGAGGCATCCATTGACAGGTGCGACAGCGGACCTCAGGTGAAGTACAGAAGGTCGTCGATTTTAAGGGAAGTAACATGTCCTTTAGATAAAAGATCATGAGTACCGCCAAAACTGCCACAAATCTACAAAAAATTTTTAGTATTAGGTTGTCCGGAAAGTTCTCAGCGTTTTGTGTTACCATTACTTTGTACATTCATTGCTGATTAAAAACTCATTCTCCCTTGCGTCTCAGTAGTACATCCTGAAGAGAATTTTTTGCGCTATCTGATGGTATAATTGCCGTTTCACCATTGCTTGATAAACCCCTTTTTTCAAGATTTTTTCAAGCATGTGAAAAGAGCACTTCGGACGATTTTTTTCTTCGACTATAAATTGGGGCAATCCGCAATCGAAACAGCTCAACAAATTAAACCAGTGTGTGGGCAGTGGTGCTAGAGCGATGCACTGTGCGGCAAATGGTTCTACAAATTTCGTTCTGGAGATTTCGGCCTTAAAAGTGAACCTCGTAGCGGTCGATTTAAAGCAATACCTGACGGGGATTTGAAGGCGTTTGTGGAGGCTGACCCGTCCCAAACAGTTCAAAAGTGTGCTGATTCGAACGGTGCCTATTTCGATTAAATCCGATGAGTATTAAGAAAGTTATGATCGTTTAAAGTGAAACACTCAAAACGCTGAGAACTTTCCGGACAACCTAATATTGTCGTATTAACAAAGTTATAAAGTATAGAAGTAACCAAACCAAAAACCAAAGTAACCGTTTTACTTCGCTTTTTTTTCCGGTAGGCTAACTATCCCTATCATGTACCACCTCACAGCGGTGATAGGGTGTACACCACTAAAGGGGTACAAACGCCTACGCAGTACGCACAGTACCACTCCCCTAGGCAAGCATAAGATGGAGCAGCATAACGGGAACGACTTTGATGTTAAATGTGTTATACTGGCGTACGAGACGGAAACTTCAGCTAGGAAAGTTCTGGAATCATTCTGGATTTTCGCGAGAAAACCAAGAATGAACAACCGAAACGAGTGTCTGGCCATTACAAATGAATTCCTGCCGTTTGTATCAGAGTGCGAGCTACAGTAAGGACGTGCGTCGCTATGACAATTTTGACTTCATGCGACACAGTGAACACGAGTCAGTCTCCATTGTCGCTTATCGGTACGTTGACTACACTTGCTGCGTGAGCTGAGCTCCGCACGGTGATACCTCTGTGAATTGTTAGGATTCATTGCCGGGTTTTTGGGAAGCGTTCGGGAAACGAGGTCGGAAAACGCTAGAAGTGGGGAGGGCGTTTGGTCGGGTAGGTAACAAATTAAAAGCTTCGAGCCATTTTCAGGCCTCTGAAGAAGACGAGAAGGTCGAAACGTTAGGCCAATAAAGGTGTCATCTAAAAACCTCGTTTGGCAGAAGTATTTAAATATTCGACAGTACGCACAGTAATGTGTGTATGGGCGGCTTTCTTGTATCCCTAGCAAGGAACAAGGGAGTAACCTAAGCCACTTCTTCTGCTCAAACAGCTTCAATAGCGCCCCAGTCCTGCGTACATCGGATATGCTCTTCTAGGACGTCAGGAGTTGCCTCTACCGATGAGGGGCCATCTAATCTCGTCAGGGAATCAGGACGTCATCAAAATAATCGGAAACCCGGAAACTCCCCCACCCAACGACACAAGGACTGCCTCTTCGTCTGCTCGTATAATTGTCGGACTATTGCATCGGATGCTGATCCTCGAACACTTTTGCTGAGGAGTCGTCAGATCAAGTACGATGTTATCGCTATACAAGAAACGAAGGGCAGAACGGAAACCATTAGGAAAACCGATCACAACGAGCTGCTTATTGTTGGAGCCAAGGTGGATGGCAAGAATGTCGGCGGAGTTGGATTTCTCGTAAACCAGGCAGTGGTCCCTAGTCGACTCTCACAAAATCGTTAGTCCACGCATCGCTGTTCTACGTCTTCTGACCAAAAATCAAGGTACCATATCCATTATCGGCAAACCAACAATGTTGAAGGCTAAACAGTACATTGTCTGCGTCTGTCTGAATTCACTTTTCAACCTAAGCAAAACGGAGGAAACAAGAACTAATCTTGATGTCTCAATCTCTTAATCCCGCTTTGAAAAGAGCAGAGGGTAGGAACGGGAGCGGAGGGGTTGTACTGGCACTTCCAGGCACATCCCGTCACTCTTTCGATGATGTAGCCTTGTTCTACAAGAGCTTGATCAGAACGTTTTTCACTTTCAAGATTGGTATTCCAGGCTATTGAGGTAGAATTTGTAGGAAAAAACCAAGTCGTTGCTTGCATCTGCTGCAAGAATTTTGGTATGAATTTTTCGATCAACTCTCACTAGCCATATGAAGATTATCGCTCTTAAGCTCTGGCTACCTTTTAACGTTTCCATGAAGGTTCGTCAAAAGCATAGGTGATTGCCTTGAGCTTGGAATCACTTCTCTGATTGAATACGTTTGCCGAGTAATCCAGAGAATGTTTCTCATCTGAACAGGGTTTGTCAGTGGGAAAAGCGGTAAAAGGGGGCATCTGTTTCGACGGCGATAAGCCACTCATCTATGATAGACCTTTGCCGAGTACTCTGTCTGTTCGCTGTTTGTTTTACTGCCACTGCCACTGCTCAGCGCAGTTTTTCCATTGATTATGAGAACAATCAGTTTCTAAGGGATGGCAAACCATTTCGGTTAGTTATGGACGGCTGCAATTACCTTACATTTGCTTTGAAAAATTTCGGCTTTTCTCCAATAAATTATGCTTCGTCGACTTAAGTAAGAGGATGACTTTGACTCATGGTCAGTTAAGAGGATGTGGTTGAATTTTGCCTGATGAGATACAGATAGCCCCTTCTAACACCGTGGACCGCGTACGTGCAGAACTACCTTGGTCTCCTAAGACTGACGCTGCCATGGCTTTTGTCTTACAATAGTTGGAGCGTGTTTCACGGCCAGGAGATATTTGTGCAAAATCTCTTTCTTGTAGAGACTGGCAGTCAAAGTTTCATTTGTCATACCACATTTTGTACAGATCAGTCCAGCAAATCGGTCTCCACTACAATAGGGTGAGACTCCACGAGCCTGCACTGATTTTCGAACTTTTCGGGGAACGATGGGCCATATCGCAGACCGGTGACCTTTCCATTACTTCAAGAAATGTCTAGCTTTCTGCCATCAGAGGTGGAGGGGGGGGAGTATCTGTGGTTTTGCTGGTTCTTTACTGGTTCCTGTCACTAACAATCTCACCTTGATGAGACGAAACCCTTATAAATTGTGAACAAATCTCTTGTTATTGAACAGCCCAATCAAAGTTTGCAAGTCTCCACAGGAGGCGTGGGCAATGTGAAGGCAAAGCCCCACCAAGCACGGAAAGTGCCCGCAAAAGTCTACATGATGAGCTATTGCAAAAGTCTACATGAATGAAGTATAAGTCCCCTACCGCCCTCTTAACCAAAATGCGCCCATTCTCCAGAAGGTAAAGACACTAATTGTTGACAACACGGTACTATATTTTTTGTACTCACTTCCTCTTCGGGCTGAACCGTGACTTTCAGGTACATTTCTGGATCAATACATTACTTCCGAACGCATCCCGACCAATGGGAAGCTCGTCTGCAGGCTATTCGAGCTGCTGGACTAAACGCCATCGAGACGTATATCCCATGGAATTTTCACGAGACATTCAAAAACGAGTGGGTGATCAGTCTATGATTGAGGTCTGTTCAAATTCTGAGGTTCAGTGGCCAAAAGTTCACCATACCTTTGAATAGCCTTGGTTTTTTTTCCAAAATTACATAGATGGGCGCGGGTGTAGAACAGTTGCGTACCTGTTGAGAGGCAGGTGACGTATTACTGACGTCATATAACACACTAGTGACGTCATGTGATCAACACACTGACCCAACGATATGTTGCAGGTTTTCAGTCATTAACGCGCCATTTTACAGCATCTCATTACTATGGTGTTGAATAATAAATCAAGTCTCCCACCTTTCAATCAATTTAGCGGACCTATGCCATACCTGATCCCGCCGCTGGAACATTTTGAAACTGATTGTTCCCCCTGCTGATAGCGTGATAGTAGACGCTTAGACCCTTGCGAGGCCACTGAATAATCTCTGCTCTTTTAGGTATGACTTCACAGGAATGCGGAATTTTTCACGATTTTTTGAATTGGCCGCTGAGAATGAGCTGGCTGTGATCGTTCGACCCGGGCCGTACGTCTGTGCCGAATGGGAAAATGGAGGCTTACCGTATTGGTTACTCAAATATCCCAACATCAAGCAGCGGAGTTCAGATTCTAAGTGTGTAGCACTTACATATGTTACTCATCGGCAGCCCCACAGAATCAAATGCTCACCGTTCTGGTTTCAGTTTTCTTCGCGAATCCCTGGCATGGTGGGACGTGCTGTTGCCTATGATAAGGCCGTATCTATGGCAAAACAATGGCCCTGTGATAATGGTTCAGGTGAACGCGTCCACTTGTTTGAGTACACCGCAAGCCTACTGAGCAAGCCTACTGAAGTTTATTTGGTTCCAGATCGAGAACGAATACGGTAGTTTTGGCTGTGATCACGTTTATCTTCATGCACTACGGGACAAAGCTGTTGAAATACTCGGAAATGACACCGTGCTGTTTACGAGTGGGTTCCAGACACAATCCATTTTAATCAAATGGGCGGAGGCTCGCAGCTACTGTGCTGTCGTCAAGTGCGCGCCACAACGCATTCGAACGAGGGCAGTCTCTGCGAATTTCTGCACATTACACCACCCATTTGATAATCGTGGAATTTGCTTCAACCTATTTAAGTGGTTGAGCTGAGCTTATTTTGGATTGATTACTAGAGCATAAGGTATTCTTACTAGTGTATCAGCTGACGCTTTTTTTAGCATACTAGGGTGACGCCCTGGTGCTTACATACTCCGGCTGGCTACCGCAATGATTCATACGTATTTTTTAGAAGTGATTAGCCATTTTTTAGTAAGTGACTAGCCATTTCGGTGGCAGCTGGGGACTATTGATGGTCTGGTCGGTCAGTCCTTTGAGGCATTGTACCCGTCCTCTTGACCGAATCTAAGAATTTAGCACAAACAGGCACTAGTGGGAGTATACTAGAGTACAGCATCGATAAGCATGCTCCGCTCCTCCCTTCCCCTCCCTCCCAGATCCCTCCCTGGTAGCCGCCCTTGTAATCATACATACGCAAGTTTCTAGGTTTTCCTAACTCCAGCTTCATTCTCCAAGCCTTCCCCACAAACTTCCGTTAAGAGCGGGGGTGGCAGGGGAGGGAGTCACTAAACAATAATTAGTTTCACATTTATTCATTTCGACTATGGTGAAGTGTAACTGTATAGCAGTTGTTGGGCCGCCCACGTGGCAATCAGCGGGGTGGTTAGACAGGAGGAATTTAGGAGGCAACACGGTTTCCCCCGATCCACTAACACCGATCAAAAGCGACCACGACCCCACGTGCCATACACCCAAATGCGAACCGCACACAGCGGGCGTGCAATGTGAAAAAAGTCAAAAAAGCGAATCCGAGGCAATCAGCAATGCAGCCCTGATGGTTTCCCTCATCGGCGGAGTACTGGTGGGAGCTCTAGTGTACATTACGACTGGTGACATGCCCGCACGCCACGTAAGCGTGTGTGCATGTTCATCCGCCGAAACCAGCTTTCATGACGTGAAAGGCTGTACGACCAAGGGTGTAAAATCTGGAATGGCACACACAGCCTGGCTGGAGCGATGGACGCAGTCAAGGCGAAAGTTTGGAGGCACGAATGACAGCTGTAGGTGAAACTCCAGCGAACAAAAATTGGGTTTATAGAGTCGTAGCAAAGGTATAGTGCAATAGGGATAGCTCGGTTGAAGCGAGTGGAACATAAGTGACATTAAAGGTTGCAAGTCCCTCTCTGCACACACCAGATAACTCTCATTCATTCCAGCGATCCACCAGACGATCGAATGTGGCGTGATCGACGGCGTCTATGCGACGGTGGATTTTGGAGAACGGGGATTGCTTCTTGCTGACGAGTACTTCAAGATACAAGCCGACGCAAACAAGAAAAGTGGGTGGTCTCTACTTCCATTCATCTTGCCTAGATCCATGAAAGAAATTAGGGTTCAGGATTACAGCTGAAAGACCATAGTCCGCTATACGTAACGTCGTAGGATCTCAGGTACTCAGATCACGATGGCCTAAAAGCGCAGCAATGAAAATGCAAAAAAAATCGTTCAAACGTACCGAGAAGGCCGTCATTGCATTCTCAGCCATTTCATGTAACAATAGCGCAAAGTCAAACTACCCGTGAGTAGAAAAAACGCGATGGCATGCCGGAAGATTTTGCGGAAAGTGACTGAGGTCCCATTGCTATGGCAGACCGCAATGCTAGAGGAGGAGAGTGCTCGAGAGGGCGGAGAGCGCTTATCGAGGCAAAGCTGTGGCGTGCCTATCGAGCACAAGCTACGAAAGCATTGCACTCGTATGATTGCGGACTGCCACCTTTGTTTAACGGATGTGCACGGTTTAATTCGAATCTTTGAACTCTGCCTTTGAACATCTAGACTGTCATCTCAGTATGGAATTTCGCATTCACATCATATTGGCATTGCCCTCACTGAGCCTGGATGCTCGGATTGACTTGATCAATGGTGCACATTCGCTACACCTCATTCTAGAACATTTGAGGAGCGTCATACTGAATCTTGATACTTCAGAAGGTGGCCCACGTGTGGACTCCGAGCTCTACCCCGGCTGGTATCGTACGTGGGGAGAGAAGGGCATTGAGCAAAATCCCAGCGCTTCTACAGGTACGCTCACAAGACTCTGTTCACTTCGATTTCATCACTCAGAAAAGTCAGCCAAACAGCCAATCAGTCTATCTATCTGTCAGCGAATAAATAGATGTATGAATGAATGAGTGATTGATTGATTGATCGATTGAATCGGTCATCTAATCAGCAAACCAGTCGATCAATTTGCCCTATCTACCTATCCGTTTGTCTACCTGCTCATCAGTCTGCCTTACTGTCTGCTGTCTATCGGCCCATCTGCCTGTCTGTCTTCTGGCTGTCTATCTGTCTGTCTGTTTGTCTGCCTGTCTGTCTGTCTAACTGTCCATCTGTCTACTTAAGTGTTTATCTGTCTGTCTGTCTGTCTGTCTGTCTGTCTGTCTGTCTGTCTGTCTGTCTGTCTGTCTGTCTGTCTGTCTGTCTGTCTGTCTGTCTGTCTGTCTGTCTGTCTGTCTGTCTGGTTCCTTTCTATTCATTTCGTTTCATTACGTCTAAGCCGTAGTTTGCATACGAGAGTTACTTGGTTTTTATTTGCTCGCCTGTTTTTTTGTTTATGTTTTCGTATGCAACTGTTTGTTGTTGATTGTTGACCTACTTACTGTGCGTTTCCTTTACTTCTGCTTACTTTTTGTTCAACTCTCATTTACTTACCTCTTCGTTTATTATCTCCTCTCTTTGTCCATCTGTTTACAAAATCATTTATCGATCTAATCACCCCCCCCCCTTCCCTTTGGCTCATAAAGACGCGGTCAATGTTGTTGATATGAGCGGGGGCGGGTCTTCCGTTGCGTCTTCTTCAATAGCGCTCCTCCTCCTCCTCACTGATTAGAGGGAGCGAAAATGGCAAGGCGGTGCAATGGTGGGTCTGGCTCCGCCCATACCAGCAGTGTAGACTATACTTCCTATTGTAAATAGTGTAAGCATAACCTTTACTTTTTTCAGTTTTGGAAATAACGGAAAAGCTGTACAACTTGAATGCGTCTTTCAACTACTACATGTTCCACGGTGGTACAAACTTTGGGTTCTGGAATGGAGCCGAATATGCAGCAGGGGTTAGGCAACTTGTAGTTGCTATCGTCGCGGTTCATCGAGGTGGGATCAGGAAGGGCGAAGTGGCTCCGCCCTTCGGTTGCC